CGTCTCGGTGTATATCTTGGTTTATAAACAGAGATATTCATGTCTCGGTGTATATCTTGGTGTATAAACAGAGATATTCACATCTCGGTGTATATCTTGGTGTGTAAACAGAGATATTCATGTCTCGGTGTATATCTTGGTATATAACTAGAGATATTCACCTCTCGGTGTATTTTTTTTTTTTTTATTCGCCGGTACTCTCCCGGCCCGGGTCTTTTCTAAGAGTGGTGACCCAGCCTTGGCTCCCTGGGAGGAGGTACAAGTACCCCCTCATGTATGGGATCAACTATCCCCAGGCCTAGCCACAGTGTCCGCCCTCACGGGGCTCGTAGGGAGAAGCTAGGCCTCTGGTCTGCCATCAGCCCCGCCCCAAAGGGGCTCGTGGGGATTGCAGTCTTGTGAGCTGCAGGTGGTAGCAAGCTCAGGCTATTCTCCTCTCGGTGTGTATCTCTGTTTATACTTGGATTTCTTTGAATTGAAAAAAAAATGAATGGTACTCAGTGGGCCGTTACCAAGCACCATGGCTTGTTGTAGTGCTTTTGAATCTCAGGTTCAAGTGTTGAAGGAGATTCTACTTCTTCAGGAGGAAAATAGGAAGCTGAAACTTCTCATAGATGAGTTTGGGAGCGAGTGTGAGAAGGATTTAGCTGTTGTACCTGGGCACCTCTGCAAAGACAGTGATTATGAATGAGTGATGGTGAAAGTGGTGAATGGGGAGGGAGTCTTTTCTTTATTTTTGGGTTACCCTGCCTTGGTGGGAAATGACAGATGTGTTTAAAAAAAAAAAAAAAATTCTCTAGGAATGGTCGCCAGCAGTGATAGTGGCAGCCACTTTAAGTTGCAAGTGGTTAACAGTTCAGGAAGAACGAAAATGAGGATAGTTAATAGAGAAAATGTGAAGGTAGGAAATCGATTCTCTGTTCTCCAAGATGAGTGTACTTCAGTGGTTAGTGAGGTTGAAGGTACCACTGATTCCCCTGCTAATCAAGGTAAGAATATTTTAATAGTAGGCGATTCTCAGGTAAGATATATGGACCGTGCATTTTGTAACAGACAGAAAGATCAGACAGAGAGTGTGTCTTCCTGGAGTTGGTGTTGGTGACATAGTCAGCAGGTTGGATAATATTATGGCAGGTAATGGGAACAAGCCCATTATCAGTCTTAGTGCTGGGGTAATGACATTGGGAAGGGCAGGAGAGAGGAGCTGCTGGATAAGTACAGGTCAGCCATAGAAGTAGTTAGGTCTAAGGGAGGGATCCCAGTCATATGTAGCATCTTGCCTAGAAAGGGAGTGGGCAATGAATGGATGTCTAGGGCAATTGGTATAAATTACTGGCTAGACAGGTACTGCAAGGAACTTGCAATCCCATTCAATGATAACTAGGACCTATTCTTTGGCAAACGTGATATGTATGCAAGGGATGGGGTTCATCTCTCTGGGGATGGAGTGGTTGCATTAGCCAATTCAATTGAGAGGGCAATTGATGACTTGTCTAGGAATTTAAACTGATAGATTATAGAGGTATGGGTGTTTGTGGGAAACAATCAGGCTGCAGCATTAGGGTTAAAAAAGCAGTTATTACCGGGATACCTCAGGGATATGTTTAAAAGACAATATTCAAAATAAAGTTGCTAGTAATGGCAAATCAATTGATCAACAAACAAAGAGAAATAGTAGAGGGCAACGAGTGACTAGCTCCCTTAAGGTTTACTATACAAATAGTAGGAGTCTAAGAAATAAGATAGATGGGCTAAAATTACTTGCAAGTGTAGGTAATATAGATATTATTGGTATAACAGAGACCTGGTTCAACCTGAAAGATGCAACATACAGGGTTATAAACTATTCCACACTGATAGGGTTAACAGGAATGGTGGTGGTGTGGCGATGTATGTAAGAGAAAATTTAAATTGTTATCTTAGACATGATATAAGATTAGAAACATCGAACACAGAATCTGTTTGGCTACAGTTTCTTGAGGGACGTGACAAATTAATTGTGGGTGTGATTTATAGGCCCCCAAACCTTGATAGGGAGGGCAGTACGCTGTTATGGGACGAAATTCATACGGTATCTAGATATGAAAATGTTGTGATAATGGGAGATTTTAACTTTAGACAAATTGATTGGAACAATATGACAGGAAATCTTGAGTCTAGTGACTTTCTTGATACGGTTCAGGATTGCTTTTTAGAACAGTTTGTGACAGAACCAACTAGAGGAAACAATCTGCTTGACTTGGTTCTTGCCAACAAAGATTCACTAATTAATAATCTTGAGGTTAATGGTGAGCTTGGGGAAAGTGATATATCATAGAATTACCCAGATAACTGTAATCAAATCTCTGTCCCAGATTTTCGCTTGGCCGACTTCATGGGACTGAAAAATTACTTGGGTGGGCTAAATTGGGATGTCATGACTATGGGTCAGGTAGGTGATCTAGTTTGCCAATACGATGTTTTTCAGAGCATAGTACTAGCTGCCCAGACAACTTTTGTTCCGAGTAGGGAAATTAGATCTAACAAAAATGATCCCAAATGGATGAACAATAGATTAAAACATCTCATTGGTCAAAAGAGAGGCATATATAGGCGTATCAAAAGAGGGGATGAGCAGTTAAGAAACCAATATATTCAATTAAAGAGAGAAATAAAAAAAGGAATAAGAAAAGCAAAAAGAGATTATGAAGCTAAGGTCGCAAGGGATTCAAAGACTAACCCAAAAGGGTTCTTTCAGGTATAAAGAAGTAAGATTAGGGACAAGATTGGCCCACTTAAGAGTAACTCTGGTCAGATCACTGACAGTGACAAGAATATGTGTGAAATTCTAAATACCTACTTCCTCTCAGTTTTCACCCAGGAAAATATTAGCGATATTCCTGAAATAATAGATTATGTAGAACAGGATGATAATAAACTATGTAAGATTGCGGTAACTAGTGACATGGTCCTCAGACAAATAGAGAAACTAAAACCTAACAAATCCCCAGGTCCTGATGAACTGTTTGTGAGGGTGTTAAAGGAATGTAAATAGGAACTTCGCATACCTTTGGCTTATCTTTTTAACATGTCACTACAAACTGCCATAGTGCCTGTTAAGTGAAAACTGGCAAATGTAATACCTATTTACAAGGCAGGTGACAGGTCCTTGGCTTCGAACTAAAGACCAATAAGCCTTACCTCCATAGTGGGAAAATTTATGGAATCAATAATTGCAGAAGCAATTCGTAGCCATCTTGACAAGCACAGATTGATAAATGAATCTCAACACGGTTTTACAAAGGGGCGTTCCTGTCTTACGAATTTACTAACTTTTTTCACTTAGGTGTTTGAGGAGGTAGATCATGGTAATGAATATGATATTGTATATATGGACTTCAGTAAGGCTTTCGATAGAGTTCCACACCAGAGGCTATTGAGGAAACTTAGGGCACACGGAATAGGAGGAGAAATTTTTTCCTGGGTAGAGGCATGGTTGACAAATAGACAGCAGAGAGTTTGCATAAATGGGGAGAAATCAAAATGGGGGCACGTCACAGGCGGTGTTCCTCAGGGGTCAGTGTTGGGCCCGTTGTTGTTCAAAATTTACATAAACGACATAGATGAGGGAATAAATAGCGACATAAGCAAATTTGCTGATGACACCAAAATAGGCCGTCCAATTCATTCTAATGAGGACATTAGAGCACTCCAGGATGATTTGATTAGACTGACGCAATGGCCGGAGAAGTGGCAGATGTAGTTTAATATTGACAAATGCAAAGTTTTAAATGTTGGACAGTTAAATAACCATGCCACATATAACTAAATAATGTAGATCTTAATACTACTGATTGCGAAAAGGATTTAGGAGTTCTGGTTAGAAGTAACCTAAAACCAAGACAACGGTGCATCAGTGTTCACAATAAAGCTAACAGAATTCTTCGCTTCATATCTAGAAGTATAAATAATAGAAGTTCTCAGGTTCTTCAACTCTTTATATCCTTGGTTAGGCCTCATTTAGACTATGCTGCTCAGTTCTGGTCTCTTATTGCAGAATGGATATAAATGCTCTGGAAAACGTACAGAGGAGGATGACAAAGATGATCCCATGTATCAGAAATCTTCCCTATGAGGATAGACTGAGGTTCCTAAATCTGCACTCTCTCGAAAGGCGTAGAATTAGGGATGATATGATCGAGGTGTATAAATGAAAAACAGGAATAAATAAAGGGGATATAAATAGCGTGCTGAAAATTTCCAGCCATGACAGGACTCGCAGAAATGGTTTCAAGTTGGAAAAATTCAGATTCAGGAATGATATAGGAAAGCTCTGGTTTGTAATAGAGTTGTGGATGAGTGGAACAAACTCCCGAGTACAGTTATTGAGGCTAAAACGTTGTGTAATTTTAAAAATAGGTTAGATAAATACATGAGTGGGTGTGGGTGGGTGTGAGTTGACCTGACTAGCTTGTGCTGCTGGGTCTGGTGCAGTACTCCATCCTTGCGTGGAGATGACCAGGCTGGGTGGGTCATTGGGATAATCCGGGGTGTGGGTCATTGGTCTAATCCGGGGGGGAAACATGGGCCTGCTCCGCTTGGGTCAGTAGGCCTGTGGCAGTGTTCCTTCTTTCTTATGTTCTTATGTTCTTATGTTCTAAATATATTATAATATAAGGATTTTGTTTTTGCAATTCTTTGTACCTACGGTAAAATACTTTTTTAAAACATACAAAATTATTTACAGTGGTACAATTTACAAGATGTAAAAACCTTTTGATTACTTACTACATATTAATGCAAAATATCACATGATCCGTTGACCTCTCAAGGAAGGTTCCTTGACGCTGATGACGGGCTCTTGATCAAGGGAATTGAATCTGTGCTCCAGTTCCCTGAATTTAGCCTGAATACCTTCCACATCCCGCCCGCAGGGGCTGTAAAATCCTACGCTACCCCCTTGATTATAATAATAATCATTAATACTTGTAATTATTTTTTTTTATTTCCCTATTTTCCAGCTGTAGAGTTTATTGGCAGTAAATGGCGCACATTTTGTGGAATTATGATTTATATATCATTTGCACTTGGTGAAGCTATGACTGGAGTGTTGGCTGTCTTCATCAGGGACTGGCGTTGGTTGCAAGTTGCTGTCACTGCTCCTGCTTTTCTGCTTATATCTTATACTTGGTAAGTGCTGTTTATATATGCATCGTATGCAAATGTTTTCCAGCTTAAATTTCACACACTTAATATATACTGTTTGTATATACCATGTGCAAACACTACGGTTATTTCTGCTTTCCAGTTTATTTGTTGCACAACTGATATGTTTAGTTTGTTATGTCACAAGCCTGTGAGTCAGCCGCTCACCGGCTACTGAGTTTAAGGACTCAGTTGTCATGGGTTCAAGTCCCACCCATTCCATGGTTTGTTTGCAATCGTGTTATTAATATTTCGTGAGTCACAGACGTGTTAGAAAACAGAGGTTTGTGTACACTCTAAACAATGCAGGAACTAATTCCTGTATGAACTATTCTTTATTAATATTTGTAATAGGGTGTTATTAAATATCTGTAATTGGGTGCCTTCAATAGGTTACCTGATTTTTATCTACCAGCTTTCCAATTTTATTTCATCCCATACTCTAGAATGTACCATTCAACACTTGTGCACGGTAACGAGGACCACATTCCTGGAACAATTGATATGTTCACGTGCACTGTGATTAAGGTTATGTAACTTATTCCCAGCATCCTGGAATGGCTTGGATAACATGCAAAATTCAAAGTTGAATTCCTTGAAACGTTCAAAAAGGTGCCATAAAATTCGAGAACGGTAGAAAGTAGAATCAGATCTACTGATAAAAGATTTTTACATTCAAAATATGTGAATTTTTAACTCTAGTTAAATCTAAATAATTTTCAATTTACCTCTTGTGAACAGTTTCAATATCAGTGACTGCTATATCTTACATCCTGGAGAGTATCTGTTAAGTTTTAATTATATTCAGGTATGTTTGTTAATGTAAGAAAATATTCGTAATATAAGCCGCTCGTATAGCATAACTCACTTTTATATATAAGGTTTGACACTAACAATATTGTAGTGAAAAAGACATATTTCCGCAACTTACATTTTGTTTTAAATAAATATTTTGTGTTTCCTAAAGGTTAATGCCAGAAAGTGTTCGATGGCTAGTTCTTCAGGGTCGTTATTATGAAGCCAAGAAGATTATAGAAAGAGCTGCGAGAGTCAATAATGTTGAGGTACTGATACATCTGCTGGACGTTCACAATGTCGAGGTAATTTACCTTTGAGAGTTTTTTCTTGTCACTGAAAATTAAGATTTTCTTTTATTAGCACTGAAAAGTTCATGAGATAATGATAAATACCCAGTACTTGTGAGACTCGGTAATGAATGATGCAAGTCGGACCGAAATGTTGTCATTCATTTCGGTCTTCTAAGTGAGGGATATTTGTATATTGTTCCAGTCATGATATTGTGCCTTTTTATTCTCCTGGTGTAGTATTTATATAGCTTATGCATCATCTCTTGAGATAGATAATCTATTTAAATTAATTGTTCATTTGTTATTCATACTGACAGTTTCATCCTGTTGACGGAACTCTATCTGTACCCAGAAGTAACATTGGGTTTGTGAATGAAACTAGACAAGAAGCAAAGATCAAGAAGACTGTTATTGACCTGTTGAGAACTCCTCTTATGAAGATGAGATCACTCAGCATGTTTTTCTACTGGTAAGTATAAAAAGTTATAGATGAAACTCAGAATAATGGATTTTTTGTTTACATTACGATTCCTTAGTAAATATTTACATTTGTTTATCCTGAGTATCCAGTAAATTAAAAAAAAATTATTTTACCTTTCATAAGTAATTCTTCGTTGCTGAGGAGATATTTACATGAAAAACAAAGTTTAATGCATAATTTTTAATTTATTATTGTCCTTCAAAGTAAATGAACAATGATAATGATATTATTAACGCTACACTTTCCACTTTGTGTTTCTTATTTTTTGAACAAATTGGCCACATCCCACAATGGCACGGTGACCTCCTTAAAATATAGGAACATTTACCATTACTCATGTAATAGTTGTCTTGCCAGAAGACCACAGAAACCCTAATTCAGAGACTCGCTAGCATGCAATAACCATTTCCATCTTTCAGAGCAAAAGCACTGTACTTCAAACCTTCAGAAATGGTTCCTGTGGTCTAATAATGTTAGTCAGACATTTTTATCCAAACAGCTACAGGAATAATTAAGTACCGTATTAGATACCGAACAGCAGCTCAGTTGGAATTGAGTGATCCTCTCTTAATAAATATTTTATATTTTTCTATATTATTATTATTATTATTATTATTATTATTATTATTATTATTATTATTATTATTATTATTATTATTATTATTATTGTTGTTGTTGTTGTTTATTATTATTATTATTATTATTATTATTAATATAATTTCCATAAAAATGATAAAGCACCTATGAAGACCGTAAGTTCGATCCATGGAAGAAAGGGGTAAGTGCCCTTCCTTGGATCAAAAGTCTCTCAACCAAATCTAGCAATATCTGTTGAAGGGATATCTCTTGAAATTCTGGCAGTGAGAGTTGAATATAGCTTTGCGTTAAGTGGGTGGTAGATCAACCGTTCACTATTTCTTAAGTTGAATGCTTTACAAAAGTTTATACCTTCATATCGTATATGATTTGTTGTGTCCGTCCTTCCTCTAGTCAGCAGTAGTGGAGACAGAGTCTGTGTGGCGACCGTCACTATGCGCTGCCTTTTTTAGGGGTCATCTTACCCTCTATACCCTCTACATAGAGCAGGCCCCTCCTGCCTGTCCCAACTACTGGACCAGTATGACAAGGTTTTGGATGCTTTGGAGGACAAACAAAATGTGGATGCATTATTCACAGACGTTTTGAAAGTCTTCGAAATACGTAAAAGAGATTACCAGTAGACCCCTGGCTGTCTTCACGAAGGCACTGGACAGGCACCTAAAGTAAGTACCTAACCAGTTTGTGCAGCCAGCAGTAACAGCATGGATGATAAGACACTGATCCACCAGGAGGCCTGATCACAGACCGTGCTGCGGGGGCGTTGATCCCCGAAACTCTCTCCAGGTATAGCCAGTTCAAGAAGATACGTTTTGTTAGGTATGACACATATGCAACAGTTAGGTATCTTGATTTCAAATGCTTCACCTACACAGTAGACCAGGGCTACTCAACTGGCGGCCCACGGTCCGAATCCGGTCCTTCTGAGTGTTCTAGTTGGACCGCGGGCTTCAGGAGAAAGTTTAGTTAAATAACAGGTGTTACCACACTCAGGATCAGGTGGTACACAAGAGCAGGATTAATACATTATTCTATCTGAATAGAATGCATGCACTGAATGGAATACAGTATTCTAACATAGCTAAATAGTGATATTATCTTCCATTCAATTGTAATTCATATTGGTAATTATCACTTGTGCATTGAAGATGGCATTTTTTGGTATTTAGGAAAAAGAGTTGGGCCGCATATGGTCTGGGAAGTCTGACGACCTTGGTTCAACTTTGAATTTCGGGAAAAGTTGTGCATTTTCCTTTGTGCAAGGTATGATTTCGGGTTTTCACATTTTCTTTTTAGCAAATTTGATTTTAATTTGCTGTGCCCACCTCTTTGGTGGGCTCAGTTCGGTAACATCATGGAGACTATTATGAAGCTAGTAAACTTCCGTCGATCAGCGTCAGCACTACAACACCGTCTACTCCGAAGCTTGCTAACTGAGGTCGATACTATGGCGATTTACCTGTGTACAACAATGTTTTGGAGCAATTTTGGGCAATCAGGAAAGAGCTACAGACTTTCCTCAAGGATCAAAACAATGTGAAAGCAAAGATGTTTTCTGATTTTTTTGAAGATAACAAGAAAATGGAGAGTGTTGGATTTTTGGCAGACATAATGTCACATCCAAACGATCTTAACGTTAAACTGCGATGGGAAAAACACACGATCTTCAACGCTTCGAGTTTTCCTGAAGAAATTGGAACTTTTCGCTAAAGATGTTCAGAGCCAACTTTTACATTTCCCCAGACTTTTGGAGCAACGTAATGATGAAACAGATGCTAAATATGTCTATTTTATTGAGAAGCTGATAAAAAATTCAAGTTACGCTTTGATGACTTTGTTTTTGGAAAACAGTTGCTGGTGTTCGTTCAAAACCCCTTTCTAGTGGTGGATATCACAGAATTCTCAGTCGAACTAAAACAAGCCTTCATTTGGGTAAATACTGCAAAAATACAGTTGGAACTCATTGACTTTCAAGAGAATGTGACGCTGAGACTAGTACCCTGTTATTATGCACCAGAAACATTTTGATCAAAGAAAGGATCCCCTGTGAATTTCTCAAAGCTTCACAAATTAGCAGTCCAGATTCTCCAGTATTTGGGTCGACCTACTGCTGCGAGTCTGCGTTCTCAACTATGAACTTCGTGAAGAACAAGTTCCGCTCCTGTATAACCAATGAACACCTCCACCACTGTCTTCCACTAGCTATTACTCCATTAGTACCAAGGTTTCGGGAATTAACACGAAGCAAAAAGTGTCATTTCTCTCACTAAATTAGCATAACAGAAAAACAGTACACAGGCACCAGTAGACCGTACAAAGACAACTTATCTACAGTCATACATAGATTACAACAGTCTTGTTGATCTTTACATGTTAAAATTCGATTTCTTTTTTAAATTAGACTTCAAATCATGTTGTAGTATAATTTTTTATTATATATCAGTCTGTTAATCAGTATTATATATATATATATATATATATATATATTATATATATATATTATATATATATATATATATATATATATATATATTATATATATATATATATATATATATATATATATACATATATATATGTGTATATATATTATATATATAATATATATATATATATATATATATATATATATATATATATATATATATATATATATATATATATATATATAAATTTTTCAGTTTAAAAATTCCATTTAAACCAATTTGAGTTAAAAAATCCAAAAGTTGTTCGATATATGTAAAAATTATTTTTTCCAACTATTTATCTTCATATTTTGTAAATTTTTATAAGACGAGGAGTGAAAATAAAGTTCATAGAAAATGATGAATACTCTGACCTACACCTGGACTTGTTGCTATCCATGATTTCGTTTAAATAATGTATCCGGACCTTTGCATACATTGGTACTTGTCCAAGTGGACCTTTGCTCATACTAGTCGAGTAGGCCTGTAGTAGGCGGAGCGTGATGGACTGATTACATCATCTTCACATCTCTTCTGCTTCTACCAACTTTTCTGTACTAGACTGAAGAAGCCTACTGTATAGGCGAAACGTTTCGAAATAATGATACCCAACTGTTGTATATGTGTTTTACCTAACAACCTGTCGGTATTTTGTACATTTTCCTGGTATACACCTTTATGACCAGTTCAGGTTAGTAAGTGTTATGGTAAGTTTTCATGTTATTACCAAGGTGATCTCGGCAGCTCAGGCAGACTAGAAGACACACTCACTTAATAATTATTCTAATGACTATTTTTGTTATTTATTTTTCTTTTATCCTTTCTCTTATATTTATCTTTTGATCTTCACATCATCACCTGCTATTACTCTCCCACTTCCCCCAAACCTTTCTTCCTCTCATACAGCCGAACACACACTCTCATACTCAAACATGCACAAACACTCACACACAAACACTCACATGCATGCAAAAGCATGTCAGTACTCCTAATATACTGTCGATGCTATCTGTAGCCATGCTAGGTGTTCTAGTGGTACACTCTGTAATCATTATTTTACTACATGTAAACCACACAATAACCAAATTCTGTAAACTCAGCATTGTAATCCTTATAGAGAATAAACTTTGAATTTGAATTTGAATATAATTATACCAGCCGGTATGATGGTTGATGTGGTGTGTCTCCTATGTAGTGTTCCTCCTGTGACTCATATTCTGTGCATGTCTCTGCAGCTAGAGTCAGTTGCAAGCAGCTACTGACCAAGACAGGTCAGACTCGATAGATCACTTTTTATCTCCACACCATACATGAGGCAACTAGAGCAATTACCAGTATTATTTCATTCCCATATCACTTCCCAGTAAACTCACAACAAACATTCACATTCCCAGATGCAAACACACAAACTCACCCAAGGAACTTTTCTCCTGTTCACCTGCATCACTCTGAAGACTTCATCGAACGTGTTCACCATCTTTCGATCAGTAGTTGCTTGACGTTGAGTTACAGGTCGAAGGGTTACTTCATCTCCCTATACCCGCTGATGTCTTTCTTGTCCTTACATGCCTTTGAGTTCAGTTTTACTCCCTTTCATTTGAAAGTAAGTTTTATTCTCAAACCTTCGGTGTTGTTATTGACTCTCCTCTATCCCGTGTTCTTGCTGACCTTTATATACTTGGAAACTGTTCTACTTCCTACTATTGGTGTGTGACTTCAGCTTTGGCTATGCTATGTAAAGGACATTTCTGCTCTTTGGCACCATGACTCTAGTTTCTTCCAACCATTTCTTGATGGCCTTAACAATCTTGCTCTTTCCATCAGGTTCAAAGTGGAATGGAAATCTAACTTATTGTTTTCTTTCCTTGATATACATGTCCATCGCGTGGGTACAGTCTTTTCTTTATATCGTTTATCACAAGCCTA